TTCTGCTGCATCAACCTCAAAGACAGACATCATCTCTGAGTAAAGGGTTAGAAAAAAATTTCCAATCAAATGGACCTAAGAAACAAGTTGGTATAGCTATCCTAATATCTAACAAAATAGACCTCAACCTAATCAAATCACACTGACATCCGAAGGCGCTGTACTAGCTTGCCTTTCCACCAACAATGCATAAGTGTTCCCTTTTCCCCTCAACCTCTCCAGCATAAGTTGTCATCAGTGTTCTTGATCTTGGCCATTCTTATAGGTGTAAGATGGAATCTCAGAGTTGTATTTCTCTGGTGACTAAGGATGTTGAACATTTCCTTAAGTGTCTTTCAGCCATTTTAGATTCCTTTGTTGAGAGTTCTCTGTTTAGGTCTGTACTCCATTTTTTTTTATTGTATTATGTGTTCTTTTGATGACTAATTTTTTGAGTTATTTGTATATTTTGAAGATCAGACCTCTGTCTGATGTGGGGTTAGTGAAGATCTTTTCCCATTCTGTAGGCTGTCATTTTGTCTTATTGACCATGTCCTTTGCTTTACAGTTTCAGGAGGTCCCATTTATTAATTGTTTCTCTCAATGTCTGTGCTGCTGGGGTTATATTTAGAAAGTGGTCTCCTGTCAATGCGTTCTAATGTACTTTCCACTTTTTTTTATAAGGTTCAATTTGGCTGGCTTTATGTTGAGGTCTTTGATACATTTGGACTTGAGTTTTGTGCATGGTGATAGATATGGGTCTATTTTCTTTCTTCTACATGTTGATATCCAGTTATGCCAGCACCACTTGTTAAATATGCTTTCTTTTTTCTATTTAATATTTTTTGCTTTTTTTTGTCAAAAATCAGGGGTTTGAATTGTGTGAATTGATATCGGGTTTTTCTATTCAGTTCCATTGGTCCTCCTGTCTGTTTTTAGTATTTTCAGTACTCTAGCTCTGTAGTAGAGTTGGAAGTCAGAGGTTTTGATGACTCAAAAAGTTTTTTTTATTGTACAGCCAAGCCTTATTTTAATTAATATAGTTTTGTGTGGTTATTTTTGGTCTGGGAGGCCAGGAAACAAACGAACAGTCTTCTGCTGCATTTACCAATTCTCAATATCCAAGAAGAGTTGGTTTGCATACTGAAACTGCTGAATTTATATCATATGGTACAGAATTGACATTGTTATTTATTCAATTATAAGATAAAATGAGGAATAAGAATCATTCCATGTACATAAAACACATCTGATCCCATGCAGGTTTCCCAGGTCTTCTCATAGAAGGTAATTCAGAAATCAACGAATTATTTACTTGAAATATGCTGAAGGCCTCATAAATTTTTAGAAAACATCATGTCAATAGCAAAGGTTTAAGAAAAGACTTTTTCATCATGTAGCAACAAGCCAAGGAAATTATAAGGACATGTCCTACTTTTTCTTTATACAACAAACACCACTATTTGTAGGAAGTAATCCCCAAAGCATCCTCAAAGGAATGAAATCTGGTAAAATTAGGGTTGGGGAATAATTTTGGTTTTTTCTGTTTGGGAGAAACAACAGCAACCTTTGAAGTCTCCAAAAGAAATATGGGGCCCTTAATGATGTTTCATCCAGGACTATGATAACACCACTAAGCTGAAAAACACCACCTAAATACCAGTCTTTGGACTACAAACTACTCAGAACAATTTCAAGGTGACTAGCTAAGATGATCTAACCTCTCAGATTACTCTAACCTGGTATTGAGATAAACCCTGTATTTTCCTCATTACAACAATAGGGCAACACGTAATAAACCACCTCTCCCAGAACTTGACAACTAACTCAATTTTTTATTTTCAGGATGCCAAAACTATGCACTCACTCCCAGACAGCAGGAAGTAAACTTAAGAATATGACACCTACATTATCAAGTGGTGGGATGGGTAGTTTTTGGCTGTTTAATGGTTATGGTTATTTGTCATTGTTTAGGGTGATTGCTTAAAAGTTGCTACTGGCAATGATCAGGAAAAAGAATAAAGAAAGGCGATTAGATTCACAGTTATTATTTTGAAAAGAAAAATGGGGAACACAGATATGAGAGAATAAATGGGTAGATTTTTGAATCTACTCTGAAAAAAGGAGGATATAGATATGATAATTTAAGAAAGTTGATTATTGAATCCACTTTTAAAATGCAGTTATTAGTTTTAAATATTTTACATTGGATTGGACTTTTGTATATTTTATACAAATTTTGTATTTTGATACAAATTTAAGATTAATTTTATTTAAATGTATTGTGTTTTTAATCTTCTTCAAAGTATTATACTTATGCAGCTCATTTAATAATGTAATGCAAATTTTTTGAAAGTTTTTATTACAAACTGTTTAGGAAAACAAAATGCAGGTTAGTAATTAGTCACCTATTATAACTACACTCGTAGCCATATTGGGTATGTTTTCAAGTTCAAATAGTAAGTCACTGGGCAAGAAAATGTCCTTGCCTAGGCTGATGACAATATGCATTCGACAAGTAGGACACAAAAGAGAGTGACTGTCAAACCTTATCATGACAAGGCAGGTCAGTCCTTCTGAAGTCCTTGACAGAAAAGTCTAAAATATTCTAGGCCTTTAGGTTGAACATGGGTGCCCCAACATTACAGAGGAACTTTGGTTGACTGTCCTTGCAGTTAGTTGTTCTGTCATTTCTTACATTTTTAGGAAGTTGCTTGCTTAAACTTCCTGCATATTCAGTTAGTATTATTTCCTTCTAGGGTCTCTGGGGGGTAGTTGAAGACTAGATAGTTATAGTTTTCCTTATTTACGAGACTCAGAAAAGAAACTCATTAAAGTAGTATAAAGTGTATGAGGTTGAGAGATATCAAAAAATAGTAATACAAGTTATGATAGAAAGTAAATTAGGTATATGATTTGAACTTACCAAGATAGGATAGATAATGGAATATATGCTCTAAACTTGTCAAATGCAAATGGTCATACATTGTTGATGTTCTTATTGCCTGCCTATATTGTATATAGTTATTGTACTTGTTGTGTATAGTGTTTCTTATATTCATCATAGCCTTCTTTTTTATTTTAGACAAAAAGGGAAAATAAAATGATACTTTGTGTTTTAATAAATAAAGCTTGCCTGAAGATCAGAGTGCAAAGCTAGGTCAAGCAGTGGTGGTACACTTTTAATCCTAGCACTAGAGAAAAATATACTCTGAGGACAGAATCATTCCTTTGTGTGAGCCTTGGTAGAGGTAAGAATTCTCTATGAGTGTTACTGCTTTGCTTTTTTCATCTTCAGCCCGAACCTTAGTATCTGCACAGGGCATACCCTAGAATCATTGGCCAAACAGTGTTGTGATTAATATAGTTTCAGTGTGATTATTTGGTTCTGGGTGGCCCGGAAACCAACAAGCACTCTCCTGCTACAAAAATGTCCTTTAAACATTAGAAATTTTCTTGCTGTTAGGCTTATGTTAAACTGTCTGACTTAATACAATATAGGAATTTATGTACAACGTGCTAATATTTTAAATATAGTATGATAAGGAAAATGGATTTGACATCTTAAATAGAATAAACTCTGAGAATTAAGAAATTCAAGTGTAGCATAAAATGAAGGATTATTTAAACTAAAGCAACAAATCTTTGTTTTTTTTTTTTGTTTTTGTTTTTTTTGTTTTTTTGAGACAGGGTTTCTCTGTGGTTTTGGAGCCTGTCCTGGAACTAGCACTTGTAGACCAGGCTGGTCTCGAACTCACAGAGATCCGCCTGCCTCTGCCTCCCGAGTGCTGGGATAAAGCAACAAATCTTAAAGGAAAAGATAAGTTCTCTTGTATATCCACTATAATTTTGTTTTTACTGTTATTAATCACATTTCCAGATTTACTTAAAAAAATAATACCTTGTGTGAATATTGTTCCAAGATGATTTGGGAAGTACAAAATTGGATGTTTCATGGTAGAGTATTTGCCGAGCTTGTTAAGGCACCACAGACCAAAACAAAACTAAAACAAAAGGAAATGAAATAGAGTCCATTACTAAGATAGTAAAACAGCAAAGCTCTGTGAACTTTACTTAACAGACATGTAAAAATTTATAAATAAAATTACAAACAGAAAAACATAGCAGTTTGTTTTAAAATATAATTTAAGTAAGTTAGAATGAATATTTGTATTCATACAAAAAGTTCTACCCAAGTTGAAAGTAAATACTGAATTCCTCTTTAAATAGAGAAACAAGAGGGGGAGAAGTGAAAGACAGGGAGCCTGGGGAAATGAAGGTGGGAAAAGAGTAAATATACCATGATGGTTTTCTAGACAGAATATGTAATCATGATTTTCTGTTTGTTCCAAAATTGTATCCATTATTTAACATAGACAACAAATTTTATTTTATTTTGAATATCTCAGGTTTCCTTAACTATTCATGTAGTAAAATATTTCCTTATCAGTAATGACTAAGAGTATGTTCATTAAATTTTAAGCTTTTATGGAAGATTTTGTGGTGAAATTCAAATTTGAATATGTGTAAATACAATTATAAATGTACGAATGGAAGATGCAGTGTTATTAAAATGCGCATGAAAATATCCGGGGCAGTTGAATTGTAGTCACCGTTTCTCTTCTATGAAGTGCAGGTTTTGTCAATTGGTCCAGTATGGAAAAAAGAAAAAAGAAAAGAAAAAAAAAATCTGTTACTATTTGCACGTAGACTAAATTACCACAAACACAACTCAACCATATTTGCTTCCGTGTTGTTGCGTCTGCTGCGCAGGCGTCCTGTGCGTGCGTAGTGATCTCCTTAAAAAAGATCCGGCTATCATTATTCCCATTAATCGCCAATTTTGTTTTTGTTGTTGAACTATATAGTGTAATTGTGTCGAGAAATTGGTATTTGTTTTTTGTCCTTTGGTCATCTTGATGCTGCAGGTTCAACTTTTAACTATCTGTGGAACAACTTCCAGCATTATAAATAACAACTAAAAAATAAGTCGGCGGAGCGATACATCGTTTATCAGAATGAAAAGCCGTAGTTTAAAATGGTGGAAGTGAACGGAGAGGTGATTATTTTTAAGGATACAAATTTAAACCAGCTGTGAATTAGAAGAATATAAGGTTCCTGCGGGCCGTGCAGTTACTAGGAAGTTATCGAATCGTATTTTATGCCAGCATTTAAGCCGGACATGAAGCCAGGATCTGACGACTTTCTACCGCCGCCTGAGTGCCCAGTGTTTGAGCCCAGCTGGGCGGAATTCCGAGATCCACTTGGCTATATAGCTAAAATCAGACCCATTGCGGAGAAGTCAGGCATTTGCAAGATCCGTCCACCTGCGGTAAGCTTCTGAAATGAAACTTGAAATGGAATGATAATTTCATTGATTGTGGGTATACTGTGGCCCTTGATAAGGCCTTTATATTTAGGTACAAATTGTAAGCATTTGAATTCTTCTAGCTCCTCGTTTTATACTGCAGAAAAGTTCTTTAGCTATCCAGATCCCTATCTCGTGCTTAGAACTTGAAATGTTTCTGCAATTTTTAAATTAATTCCTTTTATAGTCAACGAATTTTATCTTTATTTTTCAAGTTTCAACTAAGAGTAAAATTTAACAATACTTCATTTATAACAGAAACAAAGGGTTTTATACAAGTTTTTATTGTTATTGCCACTTTTCCTGGGACAATTTCAGTAGCACTAGATTTCATTTACATGTAAAAAACAGAACAAAAAAATCCATAAAATTAGAGGGATATTGGATCCTTAGTGTAGGTTAAGTTGTGTTGATTTACAGGACATATTTGCCTTTTCTGTAATAGCTTGGAGAACTTTGGCTTACCTAAGAAACCAAACTCAAATGACCTTGGAGCATTATATTAAACAGCTACCATATACAGAATAATAACCTTTTTGTACAAGTACTGCTCTTAACTATTCAATTTAAAGACATTTCATCTCTTCTGTTTATTCACATTTCTCTCGGTATCAAAAATCTACACTTTTCTTACATACACCTTTCTTATAATGCTGGAAGTAGGGTTATATTGAGGGGAAAAGTATATTAGTTTTTTGTTGTTTGTATTATCTGCAGGAACACTTGTAACACAAATGGACTGATGGCATACTTCTGTTTTAGTGCAGTGCAGCCTTAGTTTGCAGATTTGTCTTTGCTTGTTTTGCTTGTTTTTATTTTTGAGTCTTTTGGAAGACTATTTTTGGAACTTATATTTTACTTTTGTATATTGTTTTCAGTTTTTGAGGTTTCAAGATATAATTATTTGAGAACTCTGGAAAACAAATAGCAACTGTAACTCATATAAAGCACTAGTATGAGAGTATCCTCCTCTTAAACTTCTTTACACATTTCAATTTCTCAATAATCAATAATTTCCCTTCCTTCTAGGATTGGCAGCCTCCTTTTGCTGTAGAAATCGATAACTTTAGATTTACCCCTCGAATCCAGAGGCTAAATGAACTGGAGGTAAGAAATATAATTCTATAGAACAGTTGGAGTTCTAATCTTCCTTTTTGTTTTTAAACAATGACTTGGGAATTTAGTCTCAGAATCCCATTATACAGTGTGGTAAAGTTAAAGTTACAAAGAATGTAAATATATATATATATATATATTATATATATATATATATAGTTTACCCATATCTTACAAAAAATACTTTATGTGTTTAAGAGAATAGGCTAAAGTATGTGTTAGTTTTCCTGAGGAAGTCAGAGGACAATCTTATTGAAGCAGGTTCTATCTTGTTTCTGCTTCTGTGCTTTTTAGTAAATCAAGATGCTTTTCTTGTCAGCTTCCAAAAAATTCTTGTGTTTTCATCACCTAACAAACAAATTTACTTTAGGAATACTGGGATTACCATATGTGTTACCTCATTCACCTTTTATTTTCTTGTCGGTCTCATGGAAGTTTTACATAGCAAGCACTTTTCTTGTAAAACCATCTGCCCTGGCAAGTTTTTAGTTTGTTTTTCTCACTCATATCCATGTGTAATTTTAATTCTGAATTTCTTCTGATTTCTTCAAGGCAAAAATAAGTCTTTTAAATTTATTCTTGAATAACAGGCTATGAGAAGCAAAACTTTTTTATAAGTCATGGAACAAATACTCAAATTAGTTTACAAATACAGGAAACACGAATAACTGGCATTTTCTTTTGCTATTAGATTTTTTGTTGTAGTCAGTGGCTAGATATTCCACTTGATTCAAGATATGAAAGGAATAAATAAAAAAACTGGGTTTGTATTCAATATTTTAGCCATTTCATTTTATTTTATCTATAGACTCTGGATATATAACTTAAAGAAATACTAAATTGTTAGTTACAGCGTTTTTAAGAAATAGTCTAAAAACAAGTAATTTGTTTGTATTATAGAACCATATATATATATTGATTTTACCTTGGACAGGGTAAAGTGTAAACCTAACTATATCATTTGAGACTGGGCTCAATTACCCTGAATTTTGATCAGTTACTTATTTTTCTGTAATAGTTTGCATCTGTTTCAAAGTTTCTTTGATCAGGAATGAGAACTACACTTATCTGTAGGTGTGGGAAAATATGTAAAATGTTTTTGGGCATTACACTGGTTTCCTAAAAGTGAAATGTTCTTAAGGGTCTGTGATTTCACTTGATCAAGGTAGGTTTCCAATACCAGGTATAAGATGTCTCTCTTGTCAAGTAGAAGTGAAGTCCTATTAGTTACTACCTACCTATACATGTTACTATTGAATACTTAGGATTATTATTTCATGCACAAGCATTGTTTTGATTCATAGGTGTCTTACCAGGGTAGCACTGTTGGTTGCTTCTGTCTCTTGGAAGCTTGCATAATAATCTCTGGTCATGAGAGTTAGTACTCAGGGAAAAGGTATTTAGATATCATTCAGCTCTGGTCCATTGGAACCTGTATCTGAAGTGCCTGGTATCTTCAGCTATAGAATTATCTTCATTCTCTGGGTGGCATCCTCAGGCAATACCAATAACACATAATGTTTTGGGGGTCTCCTGGACAACCATAACCAACAACTCAAAATGGAACTTTCTGATACCTATTATAGGGACTTATAATGGCTCTTGGGGATGGGATAGATGGAAAATTTTCATTTAAAGTGTGTGTATGGTTCTCTGTGTGTATAGCATGTGTGTGCATAGTATATATAGTGTGCATATGTACACACACATACATACACATACACCAGTTTACATGTATTTTAGGTGTGTAATTAATGTGGTTTCTTAAGACTTTTGCAGACATCTTTACTGTTTGGTTGGTTGGTTTTGGTTTTTTTTTTTTTTTTGAGGCAGATTTTCCCCATATTTTTGGAGCCTGTCCTGGAACTAGCTCTTGTAGACAAGGCTGGTCTTGAATGCACAGAGATCCACTTGCCTCTGCCTCCCAAGTGCTGGGATTAAAAAAGTGTGCCACCACCACCCAGCTCTTTACTGTTATTTTATGCTCCTCCCTCCTTCTGTATTTATTTCTCCTATCTTGTTTAATTAAAGCCCCAGACCCCATTTTTCCACTTCCCCCTAAAGATTATTTACATCTTGATACATTCCTTTAATGCTTCTTCCTACCCACTCTGAGTGGTCCCTTTTTAGTTTTCTAGTTTTTACTCTAACACAACTCACTCCTACACCTAAGACTTAGGGATCATTGTGGAAGATGAAGTGGAAAGATTATAAGTGCAGAGGACAAAGAACTACAGGCAACCAAGAAATAGTATACTAGCTCATTATTTCATATCATTTGTTCAGCCCTGAAAACATATATACATATAACATTATGTAGACTGAGCAGATCTTATTTATGTATTTAAAATATATATGTAACAACAATTAAAGACAAAGAAGCCATGTATTTGATAGAGCAAGGTGGGAGTAAATTGGAGGATATGGAGTAAGGAAAAGGATGAGGAAATAATGTAATTATGATTTAATTTTTTTAAAGAAGTAAAAATAAAAATATGGGGGTGGGCAGGGAAGTAAAATTTACTGACCATTTTCTTTCCTAGGCCCAGACTAGAGTAAAACTAAACTATTTGGATCAGATTGCAAAATTCTGGGAAATTCAAGGTTCTTCATTAAAGATACCTAATGTGGAGAGGAAGATCTTGGACCTTTATAGCCTTAGTAAGGTAAGAGTAATTTCACATTAAAAAAAGTTTTTTTTTTCACATAAAAAATTAGCTCTGACTTGAAAATACAGTGTGGTTCATCTCCTAATTTAAAAATGGATGACTTTTGAGCCAGATATTAGTGGCGCACACCTTTAATTCCAGCACTTTGTAGGCAGAGGCAGAAAGAACTCTCCAAGTTGGAGGCCAGCCTGGTCTGCGGTGTCAGTTCCAGGACAGCCACAGTTGCATCTGAGACCCTATCTCAACTCTCTTTCTTTCCCTGCAGAAAAAAGGAGTGATTATTGAGCCAGCAGTAATTCTTGACTTAATCTTTGAGGGATGCAGTGGTTAGTGGTGGAAGGTTGCATTTTTTATGTAAAGCTCACTGCAGTATTTAGACTTCTCTAATGTAGTCATTGTTTATTTGTATTCTTTCTTATCCTTTTAGATTGTGATGGAAGAAGGTGGATATGAAGCAATTTGCAAGGAACGTCGGTGGGCCCGTGTTGCCCAGCGTCTTAATTACCCATCAGGGAAAAACATTGGTTCCTTGTTACGATCCCACTATGAACGTATCATTTACCCCTATGAAATGTTTCAGTCTGGAGCCAATCTTGTGGTGAGGACTGACCTGGAGCTTGATACAGCATCTGATTTCTTTTGTTCTTACTTTTTCTTACATTTTTTTAAAACATAATTTTGGCATTTATTTTGAATTATGTACATTTAAAATGTATTGATATAATTTCACACTTCAGAAATTGGCCTGTAGAAACTTGCTTTTTAAAGTTTTATTATTCAGACTGTGGTAGGTAAACTTTAGGGAGTTCCTTCTTAGGGTGTTGATGTTATGAACCAAATCTCACACTGGAACAGAAGAGCAATTACACTAGGTTGATATTTGAAGAGTAGGTAATTAATAATCGTTTTCTGAAATTAGTAAGCTTTCTTAAAATGCTTTATAATTTAGATGTTTAAAATGAGTAAACTATTATTATTTTGGTTCAACTGAGGATTCACTTAATTAGGTGTTTTAATAAGAATACATTATTGTAATTTTATGTTACCATTTTTTCACATTTATCTTTGTATATTTATGAACTTTATTGCTGAACTCACATTGTTTATACATACTTGTAATATATTTTTTTTCTTGTCCTCTCTCCATATGTAGCAGTGTAATTCAGACCCATTTAATGGTGAAGAAAAAGACAAGGAATACAAACCTCATAGCATTCCTCTCAGACAGTCTGTCCAACCATCAAAATTCAATAGCTATAGTAGGCGAGCCAAAAGGCTACAACCTGAGGTAATGTGGTTTTTATCTTCATATAATCTGCCAGAGTTTGTTTAGAAGTCAAGTTTGGGTGAAAATCCATTTCCAGAAGACATTTGTTTAAAAAGTTCAGAAAAGAAAAGAAAGATGACATATATATCTACTTTAAGATGAAATAGGTGGCAAGTAGATATTAAACTATGGTTTTAAGTATTTTTTTTTCACTTTGTATTTTCAGAGTAATACATACAGCTCTAAATTAGTTTCTATGAGTTTTATTTTTTAAATTTATTTATTTCTATTTTATGTGCATAGGTGTTTTCCCTGAGCTACGATGTAATTGCTGAGAACTGAACTGGGATGCGGGATGCTCTGGAAGAGAAGTCAGTGCTCTTAACTGTTGAGCCCATCTCTCCAGCCCTGAATCTTTTTTTTTAATAAAATACAACAATATTTTTGGCGGCGGGGGGGGGGGGGAGTTTGAGACAGGTTCTCTGTAGCTTTGTAGCCTGTTCTGAAATTAGCTCTGTAAACAAGGCTGTCCTCAAATTCACAGAGATCTGCCTGTCTCTGCCTCCGCAGTGCTAGTATAAAAGGTGTGTACCATTACTGCCCAGCTAAAATACAACAATTTTTTAAAATATCTAAGAATATAAAATTTCATTCTATTTATTTTACACAGAAATACTCAAAATGTCATGAAAAATTTATATTTAGATGATTTAAGCTTAGCTTAGTTGCATTAGGGATTATATAATACTATATTATTTATGTTTTTAATTTTATGTCTTATTTAATCTTATATTTATTAATATCTAAAAATATCTTCCAGGTTCATGTCAACCAATTTTGAACAATTTTTTTATAAAATATGCAAAAAAATTTCTTAGTTCTTTTATTTGTTTTCTTCTGTGATCTTTATATGACAGCTTGGTAGATAAAAACCAACACTCAAAAATTACATGTATTATATATATAGGTCCTCAAGATGTCACATATTACATAAAATTACAGAGAAGAGAGGCTTTAATAAGAGTAGGATTTGACTTGATGGATTGATTTTAACAGTCTAAAATTACAAAGGCATTATCTAATTTCCTAGCACTTTACTCTGAAGGATCACAAGAGAAAATTATTGTTTCCTATACTGTGAGGAGATTTGGTTCTTACATACATAGCAAAAACATCATCCTGTGCCTTAAGTTAGCTCTGGAAAGAGTTGACACTGTAATGTAGAACGATTTTTAAATGTTCATAAATATATGATTAAATAATAGACAAAAAGATTTAAGACATAAACAATATAGTCTTATCAAGCTAATCAAGCTAAGATAGGTTAGTGTTCTAAATAGAACATTTCACAATGCTATGAATACTCCTATATAAAGTAGAATAAATATTCTATTAGAATATTAGAATGTTAGAATAAAGTTTTGTATTTTTAGCTAATTTTTGATAATCTTAATATTGAACTTAGAAACATTTTAATCTGAGACTGTAGGAAAGAGGATTAGTTATATTTCATATTATTAAAATTATATTCCAAATATTGAAAGTTAATCAATTGATATTTTTGTTGTTACTATAGAAAGAACTGTATCAGGGAGTGGGAGGACAGAAAAGCAAAGAAAAAAGAACAAGCATGAAGTAACTTGGATACCTTGAATATTAGAAAAGTTAAATTTCCCTAGAACTCTTGTAGAATATTAAAAAAGAAAATTAAACCAAACATTTTAGACAACTTTTTAGCCTCCTTTATTAATGAGGCTATGAAAATTCTTGAAAAGTATTTTAGACTAAAACTACTAAGTAGAGATGATGGTTGTAAAATATCAAGAGGAAAGACTTGAGTTAGAACACAAATTGCTAACATCTCTTTTATGCATGGATAGTAAAATATCTGTAATTTTGAGAGTAGTATTATAACTTTACATTTAATGTGATTGGATGCCATGTACATAGGCTGGTCTAAAAAGATTCCTCTCTATGAAGTGAGGCTGGCCTTCAACTCATTATTCTTCAGCATCTGTCCCCAAATCCTGGGATTAAGGACATGTACCAGCATGCTTAGTTGGAATCAGCTTTTAAAAGAAAGTTTCTGGTTTATTTTATAGCTATAACCATTACAGTAGTGGTGTAATAATAGATAATTATATTTTGTGGTGCAGTATAGAATAAAAACTACAATGTACAAGAAACCTAGGAATTATTGAAATAAAAACAGGTAGGATCATCTTTTATTATATCAGGCATATTTTCCCAGCTTCCTTATATTAATTGCATTAAACAGTAACTCAAAACTAAGCCAAATCATTATGAAATTATTACTGTACCTTAACCTTTTTAAGTCTTATTTTATATGTATGTGAGTTTTTCCTGCCTGTATATCTGTATACAACATGTATGCAGTACCCTTGGAGGCTGTGACAGGGCACCAGATTCCATGGAACTCAAAACATAGATGATTTTGAGTCTACTTGTAGGGACTGGAAATTGAATCAAGTTTCTTTTCAAGTGTGGCCTGTGCTCTGAATTGTTGAACCAATATTATCTATTTATATGTATAACTTTGGGCATATGCATGTCCTGAAGTATGTGTTAAAGTCAAAGGAAATCTTTCAGAGTGGGTGAGTTTTGGAGTTTAAGATGGGGTTGAAGTAAGCTTCTTGGTAAGCACCCTTCCCTACAGAGCTATTTCCTTGACCTTAAAATTCTTACTGTTATCATATTTAATTGTAGATAGTAATGAGGTTCTGCATTAGTATATGCTGATTTGATTTCCTGACAAGTGTTCCTCTAGAAATGGTTTGAATGGGTCTCTTGGTAGATCTATTTCTAATATTTTGAAGAAACTACCACTCTGATTTCCAAAATAGTGGAACTAGTTTACATTTCTACCAACAGTGTATAAGGATTTTTTTCTACATCTAAATCAGTATTTGTTGTCATTTGTATCCTTGGTGATGGTCATTTTGATGGTATTTAGTTCAAATTTTAGTCTAGTTTTAGTCTGAATCCCATTGATGATGTTTCTCAGCTTCCCTACTTGTTCTTTTGAGAACTTTGTGTTTAGTTTCATAATCTTTTTTCAACTAGTTTATTTTCTTTTGAGATTATTTTTTGTTTGTTTCTTGTGAATTATTATTATTTTTTTTTGTATTCAACCTTTTTAATCACTTCTAAGGAAATCTAAGGTAATATTATTTTTTTGGTTTTTTTTTGCTTTTATTTTTTATTTTTTTTTCCATTTTTTTTAATTGAGAAAAGGAGAAAAAAAAAACAAGTTTCCACCTCCTCCCAGCCTCCCATTTTCCTCCCCCTCCTCCCACCCTTCTTCCCCTCCTCCCACCCTTCTCCCCCTCTCCCCACTCCTCTTCCCCTCCCTCTCCAGTCCAAAGAGCAGTCAGGGTTCCCTGCCCTGTGGTAAGTCCTAGGTCCTCCCCTCTCCGTCCATTCCTAGGAAGGTGAACATCCAAACTGGCTAGGCCCCCACAAAGCCAGCACATTAAGTAGGATCAAAACCCCGTGCCATTATCCTTGTCTTCTCATCAGCCCTCATTGTTCGCCATGCTCAGAGAGTCCAGTTTTATCCCATGCTTTTTCAGTGACAGTCCAGCTGGCCTTGGTGAGCTCCCAATAGATCAGCTCCACTGTCTCAGTGGGTGGGTGCACCCCTTGTGGTCCTAACTTCCTTGCTCATCTTCTCCCTCCTTCTGCTCCTCATTGGGACCTTGGGAGCTCAGTCCAGTGCTCCAGTGTGGGTCTCTGTCTCTATCTCCATCCATCACCAGATGAAGGTTCTATGGTGATATGCAAGATATTTGTCAGTATTGATATAGGATAGGGTCATTTCAGGTTCCCTATCCTCATCTGCCCAAGGAACTAACTGGGGACATCGCCTTGGGCATCTGGGAGCCAATCTAGGTTCAAGTCTCTTGCCAACTCTAAGGTGGCTCCCTTAACTAAGAATTGTGCTTCCGTGCTCCCCTATCTAACCTTCCTTTATCCCAATCCTCCTTTTTCGCCAAGTTCCCCCCATTCTCCTCTTCTCCCTTTTCTCTCCCCATCTCCCCTTACCCCCATCCCACCCCATCCCCAAGATCTCAATTTTCTCCCCGGCAATTTTGTCTACTTCTCATAGCCAAGAGGAAAACTATATGTTGTTCCTTTGGTTCACCTTCTTACTTAGCTTCTTTGGGATCACCAATTGTAGACTCCGTGACCCTTGTTTATGTCTAGAAACCAATTATGAGTGAGTACATCCCACATTCATCTTTTTGGGTCTGGGTTACCTCACTCAGGATAGTGTTTTCTATTTCCATCCATTTGCATGCAAAATTCGAGAAGTCATTGTTTTTTACCGCAGCATAGTACTCTAATGTGTAGATATTCCACACTTTCTTCATCCATTCTTCCATTGAAGGGCATCTAGGTTGTTTCCAGGTTCTGGCTATTACAAATAATACTGCTATGAACATAGTTGAACAAATGCTCTTGTCATGTGATAGGGCATCTCTTGGGTATATTCCCAGGAGTGGTATTGCTGGGTCAAGGGATAAGTTGATCCCGAATTTCCTGAGAAACCGAAACACCGATTTCCAAAGTGGTTGCACAAGATTGCATTCCCACCAGCAATGGATGAGGGTACCCCTTCCTCCACAGCCTCTCCACCAAAGGCTATCATTGGAGTTTTTTATTTTAGCCATTCTGACAGGTGTAAGATGATATCTCAAAGTTGTTTTGATTTGCATTTCCCTGATCGTTAAGGAGGTTGAGCATGACCTTCAGTGTCTTTTGGCCATTTGAACTTCCTCTGCTGAGAATTCTCTATTCAGTTCAGTGCCCCATTTTTTAATTGGGTTAATTAGCATTTTAAAGTCTAGTTTCTTGAGTTCTCTATATACTTTGGAGATCAGACCTTTGTCTGTTGCGGGGTTGGTGAAGATCTTCTCCCAGTCAGTAGGTTGCCTTTTTGTCTTGGTAACAGTGTCCTTTGCTTTACAGAAGCATCTCAGTTTTAGTAGGTCCCATTT